GGATCAAGTCCGAATAGTTGACCCTAAGTTGACACGAATATCATCTTTTCATGGTTTTATACTTAACCAATTCCAACAATATTTTTATTTTATTATATTCAATTCAATATAAGTACTAAACATATTTTGAATTTCTTTACAATATTAAATAGGAATATGCTAAACGTAAAATTTGGGATACCAATTAAAAGCTAGCTTTTGTAAGATAAAAAAATAATCTAAATTTAGGAGCGTTTCTATTTAATATTCAAATCATCCACTTTTTGATAAAACAAAATCATTTATAACTACAAAAATAGAACCGTTAAAACCTCGTACATTAGCTATCCTAAAGTTGATGACTACTACATTTTTTTAGGCTACATCCGCTCAATTTAGTATATTGTGCAAGCGAAATTTCGAAATATACTATTTTTTTCATCCTAATTTATTTGTGAAAGCATTTTTTCTATATCGGAGAAATTTATTTATTTATATTTAGAATTATAAATTATTAGACCAAAATAATAGTGAATGATTACCAACTTAATAAATACCGGATGTACATATACCAAATTTGCAACACATACCAGATTTGCAACTAACAGAAATATCGTATAAACATATACCAGGCACTAGCTAATCGAATGTTAGCCAAACTATTACAAATCAAATAATTTATTAATTACAATAAAACAGAACAAGTAATATAAATTGCTTTAAAAAAAATTAATCGAATGAACCGAGACTTGTGCGAACACAATTTCTTTAAAACAGATTCGTCCCCCCCACCGTAGGTGCTTGAGGTTTAGTTCGAACATCTGTTTCTCAAGATACAACGGAAAAACTAGTAGAGTCTGAGCACTGCAAATACTACTCCGACGAACAGACTTAATATCTGAACACTATCACCAAGATCTTAACAGAAAATAAATTATGTATGCAGACTGAAAAATTCTCTTTTTTATGATGCAGAAAAATAATTTTCTTTGTGTATATGTAATCGAGGAAGATGGCTGAATAAATGACTGTAATTGAGAATTAACAGCCAAGAGTTATGTTATTATCCACCATTAGTCCGACTGTTAATCTCTCCATTAACACATGAATAATAACATGAGTTTTAGGAGTTAAAAGAATTTGAAAAGTTTTAGGAAAAATAAAATAAAGGCAAAATGTGGACCCTTTTAATTAAAGTAGTCATGTCTTTATCTATTTTCCTATTTTGGATAACTTTAAACTAATTTCCCTTCAACACAAACAATTTTCCAATGCATTACTTTGAGTTCCAATTTTCAATCACCCGAGCATTATTTTTGACAAATAAATATACGATTTCGATATTCTCACTCAAAATAACCAAACGAGTCCCCACTCAAAAATTATTCCAAAGTCAGCCATTGTATTCATTTTTTTCAAAAATCCACCACATGAATGAAAATTGAGATATATAAAAAGGAAGATATAAAGACTTGGTGATATAGTTTAACGATTGAAACTTGCATATGATAGGTAAGTTAATCCCTTTGAACTTTTCCTTGTGAAAGTATATTTACTTTACTAGCTGATCAATAGACACGATGTCCTTGAACTGATGTACCTTTTATGTAAAAGATGATATACTCCATATAAGATTTTTCCCAACATAATTCAGTTCTCATTGTTATGCTCGTTTTGATTGTGAACATATGCCTGGTTCTGCGAGAGTTCCTAAGAATTGAGTCCCACACAATTCTCTTAGAAGCGACTCGACTTCTCTTTCACATATCTGATTTCTTATTTCAAGTAACCCGCATTACTTCGTTCTATTATCTTAGAATTATTAAAAGCTTATTGTTTATCTTTAATCCTTACGGGCATCACTGTTGTATCATAGGAATGGACATGAGGTAACATCCTTCCACAATAATTCAATTAAGTCTTTATAGTTAGGTTGTCCCTTTGAACCTAGATTTTAGGATCTCCACTCAACTAGGTTGAGATTCCTTTGTATTAACTTATTAGTTCAAGGGCTTAAGTTCAATTCCTTTCGATAATTTTCTAACTAACTCACTATTTAACCATTTGGTTAGCGGAGCCGCAATGTTATCATTTGACCTTATATAATCTATGCAGATAACTCCAGTTGAGAGTAGTTGCCATATGGTATTGTGTCTATGACGTATATGTCTAGACTTGCCATTGTATGATTTTGCAAAATGGAATCTATTTCACTTTTAATAGCATATTTCCACTGTGGTCCTTCTGAAGAGTTCACAATTTCTTGAAAGTTTCGGGGTTCACTTTCTAGCATATAAGTCAGAAAATCAGGACCATAAGATTTTTCCGTCCTTTCCCTTTTACTACATCTTGGTTCAACCTCAACATCTTCTTTTAATTCTTGGTCCTGACTATTTTCAACCACAGTCTCATGTGTCCGTTTAGATTTGTACGAAAATACATGTTTAAAAAATGAAGCATTTCTTGATTCTGTTATCGTGTTTTTGTGTATGTTTGAGATTTTAGACTCATGCATAAGAAATCGATAAGCACTATTATTATGTGTATAGTCTATACATTTTTCGGGCCAATCTTTACCTTCTTTGGTGTTGGAACAACCATTTTTGCAAGACACCCCTACATGCGTAAGTATTTATATGAAGATTTCTTCATTTCCATAACTCATATGGGCTCTTGTCCATTTTCTTTCAGGGCACCTTATTTAAAAGGTAATTTGTTGATAACACATTTTCTCCCCACATGTTCTGAGGTAATCTAAAACTTACTAACATTGCATTCATCATTTCTTTTAATGTACGATTTTTCCGTTTAGCAACGTCATTTTGTTGCGGAGAATAAGGTGCAGTGACTTAATATATGATTTCATTTTGTGCACATTGTTTAGCAAATGATGCCTCATACTTACCACTTTAATCACTTCTCAACACCTTCATTTTCTTATGAAGAATAAATTTATCTATAACTTCGTCTTTACTTTTAAGCAGAAACACATAACAATATTTTGTATCATCGTCGACAAAAGTAATGAAGTACTTTTT